TTTTTATAGTTTCAATGCTCAAGTACTACAAGCTCTGCTGAACAAACTTTAATTTAACAAAACATCTCCTAAAACTGTTTTCTTTAGTCCACCTTTATATTTTAGAAAGTTTACTTGTTACCAAAAGTAAATTAGTCAGATCTTACTTTACCTTAAGAATCAATGCTGAAGCTTCTTAGTGCCGATCAAACCTGCAGCTCGAAGCATTTCTCTTTTTTTTATTAACAAGAAATCAACTGTGTGACACCTGGGTTATATTTAAGGTAATACATTTTTTTTGTTTGTTTGTTTGTTTTTTTATTACAAATTAGATAAACAAGAGATAATGTTTTACAAGTTACTTGGGGGAAAAAGCAAGAAGCATTCTAATGAGTAAACAAATGCCTAGTTGAGTATTGTTCTACATCATCTTATAGTCTAACTGTCAGACACCACAAGGTATGACAGACTGTCTGCTTTATTTGTTGTTCCTCATGAGGTCAACCATGAATGGGTGACTTCTCTTAAATTATTCTTAAAACACACTGAATAACTGAAGGAGACACCGAGAGGAACTGGAGCATGTTTGGAATCTACAGCAACTTTCTGAGGACTTTACTGTGTTTGCATGATAAGTGGAACCAGACAATGCATGGACCACTTTCACAGCATCACCACTGGAAAGGATATTTCTAATTTTTGCAATATTCTGCAGATGAAAGAAGGAAATTATAGAAACCTGTTTGATATTCAATTTAAATGAAAGGTCCTGATCAAAAAATAACACCAAGATGGTTTACTTTATTATCTGAGATCAGCTTTAGCTTTATAACTTCTGTTTTGTCTGCATTCAGGAGCAGAAAGTTAAGAGTCATCCAGGTTTTTATGTCTTCAAGACATGCCTGTAATCTATGTAATGGGTTAGCTTCATCTGGATTTATGGACAAATATAGCTGGGTATCATCATAACAGTGGAAATTAATTCCATGCAGTGGAACAGGGGTGGATATAGGAAATTGGGGGCCCAAGGCAAAGACAGGCAGGGGACCCCTTGAATTTTGAGAACAACACATAGAACAGACCCATTATACAGAGACAGAAATGTTAATAGATTAGACAGATTATTTGTTCGAACTTTTGTCTCTCTTCTCTTATCCTTTTCTTGTAGTTTTCCTCTCTATGTTTTCCGTTTTCTATTAGCCTAGACAAAGGCAAGCATGTCGCCATCTGAAATGAGAAAACAACAGGTCAATAATACAAATAGACATTTTAACAGATTAAACATGCATTGCTTTAACTGTTGTCCCTCTCTTCCTGTCCTTTCATGTTGTCCATTTAATTTTACTCATCTCCCCTCTCTTTTTACTTTTATTTTATTCTCTTCCTGTTTTTTTCTCAGCCTGAATTTCTCTCCCTTTTGTCCTTGACTTTTTTCTTATTCTTTTGTTCCTTTAACTCATATTCCTCGTTGTTTCCTACTTTTCTTTCTGCCCTTTTTCTTGTTGTTTTCCTCTCAATACTTTTTGTCCCTTTTTCTAGTAGTTGTATTCTCTATCTCCCTAAAGTCTTATTTTTCATGTCTTGGCCTTAGCAAATCTTGCAAATGAGGAGATTCTTAACCACCGTTTTCGTGGCTTCTTGTTCAATGAAGGGAACAGCAAATGCAAATGCAGGCTTTCCTGTGACATTGTTGACCTCAGATGTGTTTTAATTGGCTTCAGTTTCAAGAAACTTCATTCACCTGAATCATCACTAACTCAGAGGAAATATATATATAAGGTGCATGTCACAGGACACATAAAAATCTAAAAATTGCTTAAACTACCGAGCAGTAAATTAATGTCCGTCGCTTGCCATCGTTACCGCTTTGGAGCACAGAGACGCAGAGCAAGCAACAGTGTCCTTTAGGGGTAATCCAAAGCCGAAATACAGCCCAGAGCAATTTCAGAAACCAGGTGATCCGAGAGCCGAAGAGGTATCCAGGGAGAAGCCAAGCCAAGGTCAGTAAAACAGTCCAGGTTCAATAACCAACAAAATTTATCCAGTAAGACCAGAAATCAAACAGGGAAAAAGGCAAAAACCGAAAATACATGGGCAAAAGGCTGATCAGAATTTAACAAAACAAAAACGTATTTAGATCGTTAGAGATACTCACACTTAAATAGCTTGAATAATCCGGCGCTGATTGCAGGAGAGCAAACAGCATAAATAGCTGCTGGGACCAGGTGAATCAGATCGGCAGCAATCAGCTGCAGGGCTTATTAGGCACGTGAGCAGGAGCAGGGGTAAAAGTCAACCATAAGCGCCAGGATTATGACACTTTTCAGTTATGTTTCAGTTTTCTGTCCCATGTTTCATACATTTGTTGAAGCAGACTTCTAGGAGTTGCTGTATATATTCTGTGTTGTCTATTTTTGTCATACTGGATGGCAGCAGTCATACTGGTCTGCTAGTAAAAGCAAAGCTGTTGGGCTACCAGATACAGTTAGTTACAGTAAAAGCTGAGCTACGGCTGGACGATATGGTCAAAACTTTTATCCCAATGTATGTCCTAATTTGCGAAGATTTAATATAATTCTGATGACGATATAAAAAAATATTAAAGCTTTACACTGGAAAAACGATCTAGAAATAAGTAAAAATGTCTTAAATTAAGTGTATTTACCCTTAATTTTAGAATGTAAATCGGGCAGTTTGCCAATAGAATGAGTATTCTTACTCTTAGAATAAGATAATTAGATAACATGCACTTGAAATAAGACAATGCAATTGTGTTTTCTTATTTCAAGTGTAAATTGTCTTGTTCTATTGGTAAAATGTATCTTTTACAAACACGTTAAATATCACTTTATAAGGGTTATGTATGAAATGACAAGAAAACATCACTTTTAGAGAATTGCAATCTTACTAAGACCAGAGAAGCAAAGATAGTACGGTACTATAAGGCTCACTTCCTCAGTCAATTGCAGCCTTGAATCAAGGAAGCATTTTATACATTTCCAGTGTCTCATCCCACCACATAATCACATCTTAATCATTACATCATACAACTGTTTGTACATAATATCAAAATAGTACGTAAGAATTATCCATTTGTCTGTCCTACCTTTTCATTCCAAAATCTTGTCCTAATTAGATAAACTGATTGGGAAATCATGACCCTTAACACCTACCAGGCAGGTATTATTAGGGTTCACCAGGCATATGTGTGAATGATAATAATAATCCTAACAACTCTCTCTAAGAAAGTAATCTTTTTACAGTTAGATTACCTTAAAAACACCCTTGTGTGTCCAAAAACCCATACATATGTTGGTATCGAATTAATAAGAAAAATCTGACGCACTTTGTCAAAAATCTCTCTCTTAAACACTCGCCCATTCCCAAGGGCAAATGTTGCAAATGGACTGTTCATCCCTTAATCACAGGGTCTGCATCAATGTAGGCTCACTGGAATTTGAGAGTGTGTCTAAAGCAAACTAATAGTTGGCATTCAAATGTAAGTTCTGCTGGTTTGCGGAGGAAAAATAAAAAAGCTGTCATTAGTTTCAAAAGGGAAGATCTTTGAATTTATTTTATATGACTGTATTGAGTTACTTTAAAGCAGGGGCAAATATTTGATGTCATGTCAACCTGAGATAGAGTAACAGCCAGGTACATGCGGTATCACAGTCCTGCCATCTCTCATTTATGCCCCTCCACCTTTAATCAGACGCTTTCCACAGCTGTGCTGTGTGACTCTACTGGGAGGGACAGTAGATGGTTAAGGGGTAGTGCTTAGGGGACAGTCATGACGAGTGCTGACACCATTTCACTTCTCCTTAAGGGTCCTTTCCAATATGCAAAATTCTAATAGACCCTTGGTGGTCTCTATATTTCTAGCTTAGTTGCAGTTCTCTAACAGGTATCTTTGTAAATATTCCCAGCCCTTTTACAACTCTTCTTACTGTGGGTCAAAACTTGGGTCCTGGTTCATCCGTTTGTCTCAGGCTGAATTATTTAGAAATTTACTAGTTATTGATTTGACTGCAGATATGGAAATAAGACGATATTTTCATGTAGTTTTTGCTTGACGGTCATACTTGAGCTGAAATTAAAATGGTGTATTAATCTAAATGTTTCTGTGTGAGATTATGCCCCTATAAGAAATGAGAAATTTATAAAATGTTCAAAATTCATCCATCATCATCTGACACACTTATCCTGAGTGGGGTTGCCAGGGGTGCTGGTGCCTATCTCCAGCAGTCAATGCTGCCAGTCCAATGCAGGGCAACACAAAGACAAACAACTATTCACACATACTCACGCCTAAGGAGACTTTAGATAAGTCAGGAGGAAGCCGGAGTACCCAGAGAGAACCCACACATGCTCAGGGAGAACATACAAACTCCATGCAGAAAGACCCCAGGCCAGGAATTGAACCCAGAACCTTCTTGCTGCAAACCAGCAGTGCTACCCACTGCGTCACTGACTGTGTAATTCATATGCAGTAAATTTTCTGTAGTACGCAGATATTAAGTAAAGGTATGAACAAAATCCTCAATGTGTAAAGGGAAATAATCTACAATTTAATATGATACATTTTACATTTAATTTAAAGCTTTTTTACACATTGTTGCAGGAGGTGCCAAGTCTGAAAGTTTCTATATGAAAAAAAAACATAAACCAGAAACAACACATTATCTGTGGTCCCCATCTGTATGACTTAAAACAACTTTACTGTGGTTAACATTTGCCCTCACTTAAAAGAGGATTATTTAAAAGCCATTGTAGCAGCTGCACAGTTTCTGTTCTCTAGTTGGATACGAATGAGAATAAACACACAGCACTTCTAACTGAGTCATGCAAGCTTTTGAAATCCTCTCTGCTGTAAAAACATGTTCAACGGTTAGTCGACCGCACTCAGTTCAAACTGCCTCTTTTCCCCCATCCCCCACCGCAGACCCTCCAACCTCTATTCAACACGTAATGATGGGTGGAGCCACTGATGTTTTCTGTAGGAAACAAGCTCAAACCAGTTTCTGTTGAGCAGAAGAGAAACTCCCACACTCCTTGTTACTAAGAGCAGAAATGGCACATGGAGGAGTTCAACTAAACCAAGGTAACTTCTCCTGTTCAATCTGTTTGGAAAAGTATCCTGTGACTATTCCCTGTGGACACAGCTACTGTATGAACTGTATTAACGACTTCTGGAATGGAGAAGATCAGAGGAGGATCTACAGCTGCCCTCAGTGCAGGAAGGAGTTCAGACCGAGGCCTGGACTGGAGAAAAACATCACGTTAGCTGCCTTAATGGAGGATGTGAAAAAGTTAGGACTCCAGGCTGCAGCAGATGATCACTGCTATGCTGGACCTGAAGACGTGGCCTGTGATGTCTGCACTGGGAGGAAGAGGAAAGCTGTTAGATCCTGCTTCACTTGTCCAGCTTCTTACTGTCAGAATCACCTCCAGCCTCACTATGATGTCCCTGGATTAAAGAAACACAAGCTGGTGAATCCCTCCAAGAATCTCCAGGAGAACATCTGCTCTCGTCATGATGAGGTAAAGAAGATCTTCTGTCGTACTGATCAGCAGTGTATCTGTTATCTCTGCACCATGGATGAACATAAAGGCCATGAAACAGTCCCAGCTGCAGCAGAAAGGACTGAGAAGCAGAAAAAGCTCCAGGAGAGACGACAACAAATCCAGCAGAGAATCCAGGACCAGGAGAAAGATGTGAAGATGCTTCAACAGGAGGTGAAGACCATCAATGCCTCTGCTGATAAAGCAGTGAAGAACAATGAGAAGATCTTCACTTATTTGATCCGTCTGATCCAGAAAAGAAGCTCTGGTGTGAAGCAGCAGATCAGATCCCAGCAGAAAACTGAAGTGAGTCGAGTCAAAGAGCTTCAGAAGAACCTGAACCAGGAGATCACTGAGCTGAAGAGGAAAGATGCTGAGCTGGAGAAGCTCTCAATCACAGAGGATCACAACCAGTTTCTCCAGAACTACCCCTCACTGTCAGCACTCAGTGAGTCTACACACTCATCCAGCATCAATATTCGTCCTCTGAGATACTTTGAGGATGTGACAGCAGCTGCGTTAGAGCTCAGAGAGGAACTAGTGGACATCCTGAGAGACACATGGACAAACATCTCAGAAGCAGTCACTGAAGTGGACGTTTTACTGTCAGAACCAGTGACAAGAGCTGGATTCTTAAAATATTCACAAAAAATCACTTTGGATCCAGCAACAGCAAACATGAATTTACTACTATCAAAGGAAAACAGACAAGTTAAAAGAACAAACTGTGAACAGTCTTATCCTGATCATACAGACAGATTCACTGATTATAATCAGGTCCTGAGTAAAGAACCTCTGACTGGACGTTGTTACTGGGAGGTGGAGTGGAGAGGAAAGGAGGGAATAGATGTTGCAGTTTCATACAAGAACATCAACAGAACAGGATGGTTAAATCAATGTAAATTTGGATACAATAGCAAATCTTGGTCAATATGCTGTGATGCAAACAGTTACGCATTTTTTCACAAAGGAGTTAAAACTCCAGTATCAGGTCCAGTTTCGTCCAGAATAGGAGTGTATCTGGATCACAGAGCAGGTATTCTGTCTTTCTACAGCGTCTCTAAAACCATGACTCTCCTCCATACAGTCCAGACCACATTCACTCAGCCTCTATATGCTGGGATTGGGTTTAAAGAATTTAATGAGTCTGAGATGAAAATTCGTAAGAGTCTAGTAGGTGGAGATTCTGTTGAGTTTCTTATACTGAAATAGTCAGTATAAATAGTCAGGATAAACTCCCAGAAACCTCCAGCAGAACCAGGATCTGTGTGAGCAGCTTTCTGCCAGCTAGGGTTCAGGGAGAAAGTAGTAGACGTGCAAAAAAAATCAATCGTTGTACTAAAATATTATTTCTGTTAAGTTTTGTTGAGATTAAGATCTAAAGAAAAGCATTGTCTCCTGCTCAGATCCTGCAATTCAGTGAAAAGGTGGAGTCAGAGTAAAAAAAATTGCAAGCCCAGGAGAAAGTGCCTTGAGATGACATGTGTTGTGAATTAACACTATATAAATAAACTGAATTGAATTGAATTGATTATCACACATTAGGTCATTAACTAAACAAACGCTTTGAAGAGACAGGTTTTTATTAAATCACACTTGATTGTTTTAACTTTTTTTTCAATAGGATTTTTTTCTGAATTTATTTGATTTTGTTCGTGGGCAAGACACTGTCTGGATGGAGTGATGAGTGGGTAACAGAGGGAAACACTCACAATAGGGAGCAGTTTAAGGGTCTTAATAAAACTAAGGGGTTAAGACCCCTTCATCTGTTTTTTGTAAATTTTCCAAAACTGTTTTCTCAGTAGCCCTGAATCCTGGGAAACCCTTGGCAGAAATAACGTCTGGTGTTACATCGCCACCTATTGGATGTTTGTTTTAACTGCAGTCAGGATCCCATCCCATTATTACTCTTAGCATAGTTGTCATGTCCCTTTTGGTTAATCTTTCTTCATTTCTCAAGATAGGGTTGTTGTTTTTGTTTCTTTTACATCAAGGAAGTTTCCATGTGACAAAATGTAACTGAAGATTTCAGCATTTCTACATTATTTCTGAGATGCCATTTAGTCAATGGCAGGACATTATCTATGCTTAGAAATTGAGGAGGTTCTGGTTCTTCTCACAGAGTGTAAAATGCTCTAAAAACTGTCTCTCAGTTCCCCTCACCATCCTCTGCAGGAGTGTATTGTCTGTCATGTTGAGAAGTGTTTTCCTGGTAGGACTACACAATGCTGGAAATGAACAAACCTTTTTTTAATTACAAGACCTAATCCAGTAACGACCATGGTAATTTGAGTTAAATCATAAATCACTGAACAGAAGCTTAAAGTTGTTCTTTAAAATGTTGAAACCAGATTTTGACTTTTTTTTTTAATACTTTCACTTCTTTTCTGTAGCAGAAAATATATTGGTCTGATTCGGAGAGACGGCATTCATCCCACTTTGG